TTTTAATACATGAAGGCAAAGCCCATTTAACATTATGGTATAGGATAAAAATTGCGAAACACATTTCATACCAGAAAAAACGAATCAACTCGATTAAAAAAGGGATCTATGATAAATATGCTGCTCTCTAAAGGATAGTGAAGCCAGAATATCATAATAATTTTTCATTTCTTTTTTATCTGAAAAAATGTTCTAAATTCAGGTCCCATTCCTTAACACAGCGTTTCTCAAACTGTGGGGCATGCCTCCCTTCAGGGGTGTGACAACTGTACGAGGGGGCGAGAACATATTGAAAAGTCGAAAACAGAAGATTATTTGAAAAAGTACTAATTAACTGAAATTAAACAAAAAAAATACATAATAAAAAAATAAAATACACATTTACACTGATATATTACACTTATAAATGTATCAGCGCCACACAATGTATTTTATAATCAATTTAACAATACTAAGTTAAGAACGTTTAATAATTACCAGTGACCCTATGGGATTGTCATGTATAAAATTATTTACAAAAAGTATATATAAAACACTTATCTTGATAATTTGTACGTTTTATAATAAATCCTTTAACTGCCAAATAAAAGTTACGCTATTAGAGTCCCAATGCCAACCGTTTTCTACACGTTTTCGCGCGTATAAGATATATTGCGGGGGAGGGGAGAAGTAAATAATCTGAAATAAGTAAATCCTTCGCAAACATTGTCAAGGTCCTTTTATTACTTTCCAAAATTTTAGGGATAGCACAATGCGCAGAAAAGAACGTACTTCGGAGAAACGTATATATACGTCAGGGGAAATAATGCTCTGGCTGAGCGAGACGTTTATATACGCCTGTGGCACTAAAGAGGTTAAAGTCGTATCGTATTTTTAGCATCAGAGTATAATATTTTTGAATTCAATACATTGTTATTGTATGAGGGGGGCACGATGAAAATTATGATTCAATATTGGGTCGCGAATATTGAAACTTTGAGAAGCACTGCTTTAACATTAACCGAAAACAGCCTTAACGGACGCAAAATGTATCTCTCCTCTTTAAAAACAAAACAAAAAAGATTCTTAAAGACAGGTTTTCAGTTCCATCTTTATACTTATTTGCACTCACCTGTTATTTTCATTCATAAATACCGAACCACTTCCAAGTTATCTTAAACCAAGTGTAAGCACACAACCCGAGTTAAAAGACAACACACAGCTATAATTTCTGAGAAACTTCAATTTACATAACGCTTCACAAACAAACAATCTATTTTCAATAAACTAAGCCCTTTCCCAAATTTAAGTGTTCCCACCTTCACGAGGTACTTTTTAAAACAAATTGACAGATGAATCAAGTCAATGCAGTCAATGGTTTTCAATAAAATATTGAAACCATGATTTCTTTTTCAACTCTCCCGTCGATATCTTATTTATTGGCTGTCTTCGGTGTTCGGTAACAGTTGCGTTGGATGTTAAGAATAAATCATTCTGTTAATGGCCGTGTGCTTTACTTTCTTTTGTGACCATTAAGAGAGCCGCAGAAGTTACGAAAGTGAAATGTTTTTGAATGTTATATCAATAAGATATGCTATCGTTGACCTGTTTATTTTACATTGTATTTTGTCATTTGTATGTTTGTTTCTAGCGATTTGTTAAAATAATATCTATTACTTGTCATCAAATCAGAGAAAAAGTCAAAAGTACTGTAAAAGTATAGAATGATTGTATAAAACCTATTTTACATGAGTTTCGTAAATAATCTGTCATAAATTATTGTCCAGAAAAGAGCGAAAGGATACAAAATTTCCTTACATGGAGTCAGTTTAGTAACCTTTGTGAACTCATTGACAAAAATGTATAAAAGATAGATTCGAGTGTCACTCGAATTATTTTTATTTATTTTTTAAAAGTTTCAATCCCAGATATTTAAGGGATATCTTGTTTATATATATATATATATATATATATATATATATATACGAAATCTAACAAATTCTAAAAAATTAAGTATAATCCACAATCAACTAAACTGAATTCACTGGCGCAACGGTTCACGAAGGCCAAGGCTTATTGTACGCATCTCAGTTTTAGTGAACTTGGGTGCTGAGGAGCGGAGCAAATGTTCCTGCCAAGTGGTCAATCTGACGCGAAACCCTCAGTATTTAGTTCCCAAGAAATCTTGATACTCATTTATCGACTCTCTGTAAGGATGAAAGGCTGAGTCAAGCTTACCCAGCCAGGCATTTAAACCTGGACTTGTGATGGGGAAGCACGAAACGCTACCATTCAGCCACTCGACCACTCAATCCACAACAGGCAAGAATAACACTGCATTGAGGAATCATTCTTTACAGACTTCTCAAATCACAAATATTTTCATATTTTATTCGTGCTGTTATTCTTTAATTGTTATTTCTGGGCAATTGTGAATTCCAGTACTGATGCCCACTAAAGACATGAAACCGAGTTGACGCACATTAGATCTGCGAGGTTCAAAGTCCTCACGATGGTGTGGAAGTTTGTGTGTGTGTATGTGTATGTGTGTGTGTGGTGTGGTGTGTGTGTGTGACGCAATCGTTTGTAGACCCCCTAATTCGAAAACAAAGGCTCTCTACGTATAATAAAATTATTAGGAACTTAGGATTAAGAAACTAAATTTTCAGATAAAACATATACCAGTGTAAATGTTTTCTCAAACTTCAAAATATATAGTTTTTCCAAAAAAAAAAATAATAAAAATCTTTTTAAGCAACAAAGTTTTATAGTTTCCTTAGGTTTAGCAACCGTTTATTATGTTTCATAAAATGTAGTTGTCATTTATTTTAATTTTATGCAGAATGTATAGCTATTATCTTATTCATTTCATGCTGCGCCTTTTGAAACCTAAAAATAAATTTGCATTTTAATGCAAACTGAATAGTATTCTAAATAAATTAATAAAATTATACACACTAGGCAGTTCAATATCTCATAATGCTAGAATTTTCAAATCCGTCAATACCAAATTTAATTTTTTTAATTTTTGCAACAATAAATAATCCGTCATAAAAATTTATACCAATTAATGATAAAGAGAAAAATGATAATTGACTCTAATTTATTTTTAACCCTGGGAAATAAAAATTATATGTGTAAGAAATTGAAATAGAAAATTATTATTCACCGTCTAGGCCAGAGTTAATAAATTTTAAAATCTTATTACGCTTACAGTAAACTATTCTTGTAATAACTCAACAGCGTGTGTCGGCACTAATAACATTACACTTACAAGAACGAGATTGAGAAAAACGAAGATAAGGGCCATGCAACACCTTTTCATGTCAGTGATGATTATAAATTAAATTATATGAAGTATATACGCAAGTAATATGCATAAAGTATTTTGTGTGAGGTCAATACAAATGGATTGAAATTAGAAAGGATAGTTTTGTTTTTAAAAAAAAAAAGAAATGAACTGATTGTTACTGTGCCTCGCCCTGTTTGAAGAGACAACAACATTTAATGTCAGTACTCTGAATATATATTCAAGCATGTGAGCTATATGCATTGAATATTTTTGCAAAGTTGATGGTCAAACGGTTAAAAACAATAAAGAAAAATTAAATAGAAATGGCTCACTACATTTTTTTTTAAATCCATGCAAATGTTTTCTTGCAAGTAATTGCAGCTATAAAATTTACGATAAATATTTTTTTATTTGTTGATTAGATGCGGTACGTTTATTTTCTTCACTTTTTCGCTTCTTCAGTTTGAAGAAAAATATCCATATAAAACAAGTAATATAAAAAAATAGTTTTTGTCAATTCCTACTTAGATCAACAACGAAAAATTTTATTTTATAGCTACTTTTTATTAAATAGTTACAATTAATATAAAAATGTATATACATAGGACAGAATCACAACATTAAGTGGTAATTAGTTTTTTTAATTATAATTAAAGTATCGTATTGTCCTTTTAATTTCAGTCCAACTGAAGGTTTTTAACACGTGAGAAAAAAACCTTTTCAATTTTTGACACAAGTCGAACGTGGCAGAATTGTAATTCTTTAAAAAAATTAGCTTTTTAAACAATTAATTTTTATAATTATAATTAAAATATTGTATTGCCATCCAAAATGATCCTGTATATAAAATTTCAGGGTCAATTCAGCGCTTTAAATGTTTTTATTAACGATTGAAAATTCCACCAAGATAAATAAATAAATATACAAATATATAAATAAATAAATATGTAGACAGTGCGAGCTAATAGTAGGAATTGAATAAAAGAAATTTTACGAAGGAAGCTTATAACGAGGTAAACTCCAACCCTATTTCTGGGATTTGTATGTTGTATTCACACAAATAGAAGGAGCTAATGGTCGTTGATTGTGTCAGTTCTCATGAAAACTTGGGAGAAAAGTTACCAGTTCACAGGTGTCGTCCGCGTCACTTGGCCGTCTTTCAAAATTTCGAGGTCCATCTCCAATAGCCCTTGAGTTGCTTCACAGTGCAAAGCAAATTAAAATAAAATCACACGAATATATTTTTTACTTCTAATGGAGCTGAGGATTGATGTTTGCCATTGCAGACCTAGTACATTTCCCCGGAAGCTGGTATCTCTTTTTAGTCCGGCATCATGTTGGTGGTATACCCAGTAACGCACACAGGAATTTTTCAAGGACGGTGTCCAGGGTCGAAAGTCCACCATTCTTGTATCATGCTCATTTTGATTTTGTTGATTTTCGGGAACAAAAAACAGTAACAAACTAAGTATTAAATGAATAATTAGCATTAATTAATAAAATTAATCACACACACATTAATAACAAATACTTTATTAAATTTTACTTACTATATACTTAGAATTATAATCAATCGGAAAAAAAATCAAGGGCTTTGGGGGCTGGACCCAAAGACACCCCCCTTGTGTGCGCCACTGGGTATAACAATCAACACAAGTAATTTTGATACCCAGTTTCCTCCCCAGAGGAAGGCACCTGAGCTCTGACGATGCGAAACAGCACTAGGAGTTTAATTTGGATTTGAGACTACCTTTGGATTAGAAGTCCAATGCGCTATCCATTGCGCTACAAGGGACACAACGAGCGATTTTCCTTTTCATAAACGCTATTGGACTATTATTTTTGTTTGTTACTATTTATTTATTAATTATTCAAATATTAAGTAATTAATATTTGGAAAAAGACAGCTGGGTGGCGTGGTTGGTTTGTCGCTGGCCTTCTGCAACTAAGATTGCGGGTTCAACCCCGATCTAAGTCGGTGAATTTTCATGATGCAGAAAATTGACAGATACCATGCCGTATGATTATACGCCATGTAAAATATCCCCAGAGTGTCTTTTTGGCTTGGGTGCTCTCAGAAAAATTAAATCCTAGTACAGATTCACATCGTCAGAGTTCAGGTGCCTCCCTCTAGTGAGGAAACTGGGTGCCAAAATTACCTGTGGTGATTGGTATCCGCCTATATGATGCCGCACTAAAAAGAGATACCAGCTTCGGGGATATGTACTAGGTCTGTAATGGAAAAACTTCAATCCGCAGCCCATTAGAAATAAAAAACAAATATATTTGAAAAAACTGTAATAACATAAAGTATCCTCCACTACAAATTTTAAAAAATGTATTTGAACTTGAGTGGATGAGTAAAACGTATTTTATTAACGATTGAAAATTTAAACAAGATACACACACATGCATATATATGGATCAATAAATTTATTAATTATAGAAAAATAAATTTAATAATTTCTATACACGTGTTTTAATTCAATTTAAACTAAATTTAAAGCAGATTTTATTTTAAAAGTAAATGTTACTCATAGATGAGTAATGTTGCAGAAGGTTTTGAAACATGCTTGATAAAATAGTTTTCACAGAAGTAAGAAAACATGTTCCCTTTTAAAGGACATAATACATATCCTTTTGTTTCATATATATATTAATGGATTTTCAGCAAGTAATATTATGCAAACTGTAACTTAATCCAGAATTTTTATCAATAAAGAGTAACAATTTAAATAAATGTTATCCAGTGTCCATCTGTTTTGGAAACAAATGATTTCACAGATGGCTTATCTCAGAGTTTAGCCACGACTTCACCGCTCCCAAGACTTAATATATAGTTTAAACCTTATCTTCTTGAAGTGTTTCACGAACTAAAATAACAAAGTTGAAATAAAAAACATCATTAACGATCCATAAATTCCTCCTGTGTTCTTAAACGGTCCTACGGTGCATTTAAATGCCAACATCAACACTTCTAAGTTTCAAGTTGACAGTTAGAGTCGTTAAGAGCATTTATATAGACGTTGCCTATCTCTTGCCATCGAAGTTTTTCTTTTTCTTCACTTCATTTCAGATTCTAGAAGCATGCGGATTTATTTAAGTTAATGGATGTTTTTCAACGCAGAACGCGCGAATTAGAAATATGCGCAGTGGTGGCGAAAGGCTTCGCGTCCAGAAATGACTTCGGACGTCATAACCTTTGTGTTCTGATTGAGATGCTATTCGAATTTCTCCGTAGGCCTCAGGTGAGTTAAAAGAGGACGGTCGAAGATTAATGTCTTATTGATACGAACTAAGTGTAGAAAAGAAACAGGATGCCATTCAATATTGGAGGAAATATAAGACGCTAAAAGCCAAAGGAGATTGGAGTATGCGCACTTCATTATTATTATTATTCCTATGACTAGAAATAGGTGATTGGATGATGAAGATAGCATTTAAATAATTAAAACATTTTTTTTTTTTACCAGTCTCTCATTTTTTGTACTTATCTAAATTTTAATAACATTCATGCTTTTTCTAAGATTACTATTCATATAACATTTAAACAAATAACTTTTAGTACGCCGTCCATCCGGTATAGTGGTTAGTAGCACTGACTGTTGTACCGTAGGGCTTGTGTGTGTGGGTTCAAATCCCAGGAAAGGCATGGATGTATGTTAATGTATAGTGCCTGTGCGGCATAAGGGCACCTAAGTATTCGTCGAGCCACAAATCCTCTTGTGTGATTGGTGGAAGGGGAAGAGAGATTGGATGTCCCTGACCCTCCCCCCCGGAGTATTCTCCGTCAAAATTGGGGTGGAACAAAGCCAAATCATACATAAAAGCTACGACAGACGTAAAAACTAACCTTTCAAGTTTTGACACAAATCGCCAAAATGGTCGCTAAGTCACCAACGTGGCTGTATTTGTAATTCTTTGAATAATTAGTTTTAATCAATTAATTCTTATTAATTATAACTAAATTATTGTATTGTCATCCAAAATAATCATGTATATTAAATTTCAGCTCAAATGAGCGCTTTAAAATGTATTTTATTAACGCGATTGAAAATTCCACCAAGATAAATAAAATAAATATAAAGAGAGTGTGAATTAATAGTAGGAATTGAAAAAGGAATAGACAGAAAAGATTAAATTAGAGGATGGATCAGATTTTTTTTTGCTCTATTATGCATAATTTTTGTGTTAGAGAAGAAGGTTAAAATCCTATTAAGCAAGAGTAACCCAACTTCACTACCCTAATTCAGTGACAGCTTTAAAAAACGTAATAGTTTTCCATATTGGTCAATTGACTTTTGTTCATATATTGAGTTTTTGTCCTTGGCTTTATTTTTCAGAATATGGCATGGTCGTGAAACTAATGAATTAAAACTACCTTTTCACCATAGTAGCGGAGGTTAATATAGTATTAAAAGAAGTAAGGCAAAGTTTTTTAAATAATAAACTTTAAATAGAATTTCGTTAAATCAAAATAAATAATGAGTAGTTAACAATTTTCCATTAGATTTTTGATTAAGAAAATTTGTGTCCGTGTGTATTTTGAAAAAGGAAAAATAGGTTTTTTGCTTAGTAATGGATAATCTTTAATTTTGTTTAAAATTTAGAAGACGAAATAGAACGATTTTTATATATGTTTTTAACATTCAATGAACTGTTAATAAATTTTAAGCTAATTCCTTACAATATACAGTGAAAATCGTTCAACATGAAACTGAGGGGTGTGACATAGCCATCCTGTGATGACTATGTCGTTCCGGATCCGCGTAAGCTAGAGGTGTGGGATTATCAAAATGATGAGACATGTTGGTTCTTAATACAACTTTTATTAAGAATAACTTATATTACTTAATTCTAATTGACAACTTTAATTAAAGTGAGAGTTAACACCCAATTAAACTTTGTATTTAAGTCAGATCACGCAACTAGAACAATTATCTTAATTATAATAATTAAACCGATTCATCTAACTTCCTATACCAAAATATTACCTTTTGCAGATCTCCTTCCTTCAACGATTCAGAAATATCTATAATGTCACTTTATATACGACGATTCCAATTTCTTTATAATGAACTTCTATTTCTTCCAAAGCTATCGGAAAGCTAACTCTTGATCTGAAAGATTCCACACTAAGCTATCTCTAAACTTGCCGCTTATCATCAAAGCTTCTATCCTTTTTAAAGTATATCTCATTTACATATTATCTTCGTTTATCTTCTTGGTATTGGGTTGGAAAGGTTTTGCCATTAATCGTGGCCGTCAAAACATAGGAGTTATTTTTTAGCAGAAGGACGAGAGCTCACCCCTCAAAAAGAAAACATGATTACTGGGTTCTCAATGCTCTTAATAAATTACGTGTCAAATCTCTACTTCTGAATTTCTTCGTTTTTCTGATTTTTATTGAAATTTTAATCTTAAATCCTCATTTTGCTTTTAAAATTTTCCCAATATTTATCTTGACTTTATTTTCATTACTCATCTTAAATTAAATTTAATATTCAATTTAAATTTAAACTCGTGACAATAAATTTTACTCCAATAACTAGGCCAACATTAATAATTACTGTTTAATTCATTGCCCACTCTCCTTTTCACATACAATCACTTAAAATAACTATACACTTAAATTTTCTAAAAAAATTTTCGGGGTTTCCAGACCAAACTTTTCATCTTTATCATTACTGCCTATGGAGCTGGATTTTCCGCTCCCTTTCTTTTGAAGTCATATATCATAATTTTCAGGGTCTGTCTCCCTGAAATGAAAACTTTCTGAGTCTCTATTTCCATAATATCAATCAATTTCACAATTTTATTCATTATATATTATTTGTATATCCAATAATTTTCATCTCCATCCCCACATCTGGTTCCAAAAAATCCCAATGAGCCGCGCATCGTTTAATATTATTGTTAGTGCCTGAACGCCCGTTTCCCTGACCCGATGCCTCATAATACGTAACAATACAACAACATATATATATATACACATATTATACAATTACAAACATTTTTCAATAAACTATTTTAACAAATAACCAAAGAATTTTCGCATCTCGAAGTCATACATCAAACAAACAAATGTGCAATTACAAATGTTTTCTCCAGAAAAAAAATTTTAACAAGTCAAAGTTCCAAAATAAATAAACACTCATTGTAGTGTTTGACTTTTTACTTGCTATAACTTTTAAGCACCGCCGAGACTTCTTTCTTTGCAATAATTCTTCCGACCACTTGTTGGAAGATCATAAAATAGAAACAATACAACCTGTTTTTATATGTGCTCCCAATTACGTCCAACATTTTGCTACCACTTTTTCTTTCCTCGGTTTTTACTGGAATTTCTTGTTTTACTTGTTGTGGAGGCTTGTAATCGCCTTGTCGTCCCTTTCTTGATTTCCCCTTTTTTCTCCTTGGCTGGTCTGGGTTCTTTTTTTGTTCTCCGTCGTGGCCTTAGGTTGTAGTTTGATTCATCTGGAACTTCTGTGCATTCTCTTCTGTTCTTTTTTTTATTTCTAGAAATAGTACTGGATGAAAAAGTTCTTTTATTAAATATTGGGTCCCTTTCTCTGCCACTTTCTTTTGTGGTCCACTTCCCCTATTCCTGATCTTTAATACCCTATTATACCTTGTTCTTTTGCTTTTACTTTCCTCCCAAATGAACTAGGAAGCGATCCCGACCAGTGATTTGTGTTTATGGGTCCTCTCTGTTTTTTTATATTGATTTGATTGGCAAACCCCTTTTTTCCTCAACTTACGTTTCACCTCAGATTTTTCTTTCCCATATTGTACTC